ATACATCTTTCTCAGCTGATAAAAATAAAATAAAAATGTTTGTATGCAACCCAATTTCGCATAAAGTTTTCATAAAAACTTGTCTTCATGACAGATTTATTCAAACATCAATATATAATTAACAGTAAATAAGCACCCTCTAGTGTTTTTCTTTATAGCTAACTAACGAACTGTGAACACTAGATAATGCTTTTGAGGTAAATCTAACATTAAATGACATCTGTTCACAAGCTGTTTTATTTGATGTCTTTCTTTTGGTTGAAATGCTGATTGAGCGATTACACGAGGCAAGAAACATTTCAGTAACTTGTACTATATCTTTCAACATACCTTCTGATGTTCATTCATGTTTAATACATGTAACATGAATGAACTTGTAACTTGTATTAAAGTGGATAAAGCTTGAACTACAGCGATCTGTCACTCCACATTCAAGAGCATCAAAACGGAATTTATTGTTTGAAATTTGTGATAAAACTGATAAAACCAGGTTGACGCGTCTCCTCCGCGTCAACCTGGTGCCATTTTGGAGAATATCCACTGCCAGCTGTGTCACGTGGATACATTGTTTTCGTTCAAATCAAAGCATAAACAACATAGAAAACGTATCCGTGTGACGCAGCTGACACAAAATAGCATACGCTGTTTACGTTAAATGGATATTCTCCAAAATGGCATCAGGGTGATGCGGAGGAGATGAATTGTTGAATAAAGTCGTTATTTTTGTTTATCTTAATTTGTGTTCCGAAGATGAACGGAGGTCTTACGGGTTTAGAACAACATGAGGGTGAGTAATTAATGACAGAATTTTCATTTCTGGGTGAACTAACAATTTAAGTCAAAAGTACAAAGGCAGCGCGTTGATATACTGCACTGAAGTTAGGCTAGATAACATATACCAGGGATCCTCAAATCTGGCCCACGAGATCCAGTTTCCTGCAGAGTTTAGCTCTAACCCTAATCAAACACACCTGAGCATGCTAATCAATGTCTTCAGGATCATTAGAAAATCACAGGTAGGCAAGTTTGGTCAGGGTTGGAGCTAAACTCTGCAGCGCATTGGCCCTCCAGGGCAAGATTTGAGGAACCCTGACATATACCATATTGAGATTTTGCTCTCAGCTAAAACTATTTGCTCTGGAATGAATAATGAATTCATGAGACTAAAGACTGTGCATTAGATTTACCCAAAACAAATTATATCTCATGTTTAACCACTATAGAGACATCAGAACCAGCAGCAAATTCCAGAAGATCTGGCCGAGGTGAGGCTGCTCTCGAAGGGTTCATGAGTGCTGAACGGCTGCTGACGTCCTGGAGCTCACATCTCCGAAAATGTCAAAGCAAATTTTCAAATAGACGTTATCTTTATTAACAAACTGCATATTTGAAGTCTAAACAACTACATTCTCGCCTACAAAAACTCTTAAAGGGGTCATATGATGCTTTTTTAAAGATCATTATTTTGTGTATTTGGTGTAACAGAATATGTTGACATGCTTTAATGTTCAAAAAACACATTATTTTTCAAATAATGTACATTATTGTAGGACCTCTATGCCCCGCCTCTCTCAAATGCTTAGTTTTCTACAAAGTCCCTCCTTCCGACAAGCGCAGTCTGCTCTTGATTGGCCAGTTGACCCAGTGCATTGTGATTGGCCGGACACCGCAAGCACTCGTCGGAAATGTAACGCTCCTTACCATAATCGCGAGCTTCATCTTTGAAAATAAATGTAAAGACAGAGCCCGAAAGGGGAACAGAGTCGCGTGACAGACACAGTGATGAAGCTGGTATGCGTTTGCAGTACACAAGCCACGGTTAAGACAACTTTGATGTGATGTGACGAGCTCTCTCTCTCTCTCTCTCTCTCTCTCTCTCTCTCTCTCTTCTACTATTCTCGATCTCTACAGATTCTCGATCTCGAGCAAGCAAATCACCAAACGGCATTCTGGGTTGAGCGAGCGGCACTGAGCGTATTGAGCGAACAGAGTGGAATCTTCAGAAAGGCGCTCTGCGCTCTTAAGGAGATATTACCACTCCGCTCCGCTCACATGCTCTGATGCCAACATGTACTGTGACATACTGAAGCAGAGCATGATCCCCTCCCTTTGGAGACTGGGCCGCAGGGCAGTATTCTAACATGATAACGACCCCAAACACACCTCCAAGACGACCACTGCCTTGCTAAAGAAGCTGAGGTTAAAGGTGATGGATTGGCCAAGCATGTCCCCAGACCTAAACGGAAGGTGGAGGAGTGCAAGGTCTCTTACATCCACCAGCTCCGTGATGTCGTCATGGAGGAGTGGAAGAGGACTCCAGCGGCAACCTGTGAAGCTCTGGTGAACTCCATGCCCAAGAGGGTTAAGGCAGTGCTGGAAAATAATGGTGGCCACACAAAATATTGACACTTTGGGCCCAATTTGGACATTTTCACTTAGGGGTGTACTCACTTTTGTGGCCAGCGGTTTAGACATTAATGGCTGTGTGTTGAGTTATTTTGAGGGGACAGCAAATTTACACTGTTATACAAGCTGTACACTCGCTACTTTACACTGTAGCAAAGTGTCATTTCTTCAGTGTTGTCACATGAAAAGATATAATAAAATATTTACAAAAATGTGAGGGGTGTACTCACTTCTGTGAGATACTGTATATATATATATACATACCATACCATAATTTACAGAAGACATCCACTAAAATGTCATTCAGTGTAACAATATTTATATACCAAACAATCGTGTTAGACATATTTTAAACAAGAATCATTTGATGACAAATTAAAATACTTTATATAAGGATCCCACTGCAGCCCTCAAATACCAATTAACTTTCATTTTTAAATCTTTATACTTTACTAATGTCCTTCAAACACTAGGTTTTACATATTTGTTTTTGTATGGAAGTGAAAGTCATTTAAAATATAATAACATTAAGTATGATCACATACTCTTATTTAAGTACAGGTCAGAATAAGTACTGTATATTGTTTCATAAATATGTCCATTACGCTGAATGACCATGATTTGTTACTCTGAATGACGTTTTGCCAAGAGGGAAATAATATTGTCATTGTTCCCATAATTGCAATGTTTTGGTATTAGTCTGTGCCTTTAAATTAGTTTAAAAAAATATTCCTGAGTAAATGACAGCAGAAGCAGATGTTGAAAAGTAATAAGCATTTTATATTACTGTACTGATGCTCTCTGCCATGCTCGCTTAGCTTGTCTCTTTGTTTCTGACTTGTTAAGCCTCAAAAATTGCTGCTTTACAGGTATATTTATGAATACTTTCTGTTTGCCAACATACTGTAAATGACATTATCAGGATGAGTATTTTGGGTGGAGAATCCCCTCAGTGATCTCTCTTGAACTTGTGACATAATGTAGTGAGGGGGGACTCTCTGTTCAGAAATACTGGCAAGCTGTTTTTCTGACAATTGCAATCCTCAATACCTTCGATAACTATAATTCTAAAGATACAGTTTAAAAAATAATTCTAAACATAAAAGAATAGCAGAGTCCCCAGCACAACTATAATGACAGCTGCACAGAGAAACGGTATTGTTGGAATCTCTTTCTCTAGATATATATATATATATATATTGTCTTAGTTACTAATTTATTTCAAGTAACAAATGTTTTTTATTATTTAAATTTAAGTTAACTATAATAACCCTGAAGGGAGCAATGCTATGACAGGGTGGTACTTGGATGTTCTGATTTTGATTGAAGGTGGTACTTGGCCTGAAAAGTTTGAAAACTGCAGGACTAGACTGTAAGATATTATGCTGGCTGCTTTTGATGCAGAATTTCCAGAGTTAGAAGAGCATATCTTGCATGCCATAGATGGTGGAAAAGAAAACAATCTCTTTTATGTCTTAGTGATTCACACAGACAAAGAGCATAGGTGAAAAGCACTGTGGGTAAAGGATATCCCTCAGGGTTTCATGAACAACTAAGTCCACGCATCCATAATGCATGAAGAATAAACTGTGTGGTGGATGAGAAACAGCCTTGCATATGTTGTTGAATGCAGCAATAAGCATTTTTTGAGAACCCAATTAAAAAGTTATTTTTGTTAAATTCACAGCAGACATGAATGTGTGCGTTTTCTGATCTGTTTTATATGTGCATAAATTAACAAGCCTATTTAGTTAATAGGACTGTCAAATTATCCACTTTTTTTTGTAAACACCTTTTAATTATGTTCCTCTTTTGTTAGTCACTTTTCAATAAAAGGGTCTGCTAAATGCATACATGTAAATGATTAATCTTGCAGTTTTAAATTTTACTACAGTTTACCACAGTATAATTTTCATTATTAATTTTACTACACTTTTATATTTTAATTATTACTTTGAATATTGTTAATATAAAGTAATCATTTTTATTGATTAGTAAATTTATATAAATTTATATCATATATATTGTATTTTTGTTAAAAAGTTTGGGGTAAGTTAAATGTTTTTAAAGAAGTCTCTTTCACACTCACCACGGCTGCATTTATTTGAACAAAAATACAGTAAATAGAGTAATATTGTGTAATATTTTTACAATTTAAAGTAACTGCTTTCTATTTGAATATATTTTAAAATGTAATTTATTCCTGTGATGCAAAGCTGAATTTGTGTCACATGATCAAAGTGTCACGTGATGTTTCAGAAATCATTTTAATGATCTTATTTTGTTTAATACTGCTTATTTTATTTTATTTTTTCAAAAGAACAGAATTTATTCGAAACAGAAATGTATAAATGAAACAGAAAACTATAAAAGTCATTTTTGTCATTTTTGATCAGTTTAATGCTTCCTTGCTGAATAAAAGTATACTTTAACCCCACACTTACTATATACATTTAAATTTGTTTTAAATGATAACATATTATTATTATTATTATATATTATTATTTTGATTGACAGTCCTAAATGTTCTAAAAGATAAGCATCTGCTGCTATTAAAGATATATGTATGTGTGTGTGTGTGTGTGTGTGTGTATATATATATATAATAAAGTTGATCTAAGACCTTTATGTTCAATGACAAGCCTAACGACTCATGACTGCTATTAGCACACACTTAGATTTAGTTAACTAATATAGCCATTATTCATTTTGACAAGCATCAACTGTGAATGCAAAGCCTTTATATTTCCAGTCACCTTGACATTTTCCACATCCTGGGTCTTGATACTCAGTCATAGTGGGTTCAAAGGATACAGGAAGTAGTAAGACTTGATTAAACGCTTTAAACATGATTAATGCTTAATTGTCTTGCCTCTTAATTGTCCATCTCTTTTGTCAGGATTCATTGGGCCGGCACAGAGACGCCTACCCAATGGTGTGGATACATTAATGGAGCCATTCAGGCCGGTCAGCGGGCGGCTATGGAGGTCCTGGCTCAGATGTGTCCTTCTTCTCTGTCCCAGGAGGAACTGGATGCAGTGCGAGCTTCCCTGAAACACAGTGACCCAAGAAAGGATTCAAAGTGTACATCGTCTAAGTGTTACTACCTCTTTGGCGTGGTAATGACAGTGGCTGCTCTAGTGACCGCCTACCTGTTGGCCAAACCAGAACTGGGATTTGAATGGTTTTAAAAGGATTATTGGCAGCACTTAGCCATTGTGCCTTAAAATCCAAAAATTAAAATAACAGTAATTTACAGATTCATATCAACTTGACCCATTTTACTTACGCAACACGTATTTACTTACAACGCATTTCTGAATGAAACAGCATTTTCAAAGGAAAAGTGGGATTTGATTGAATAATGAAAAATTGCATACCAGAATAGAGTCAGATGGTTGGTGGGAAGGTGATGAGAAATAAGAGGGCTTGGAGATGTCAGCCAAAGAGGAAAGAAGCATTTCAAATGCACAGCAAGTTTGAGCTGAAAGTTTATGCAGATTTATTTATTTTTTCTTTAAATCGTGCATGCAAAGGAAATGTGAATATAAAATCGTTAATCAGTCGTTAAGTTTAATTATCAGTATTCTAAAATCAAACATCATTACAGTATAATCACTCGTTGTATCTTGTACTTAATAATGAAGCTGACTTGTGACATTTCCATATTTGATTTTCTAATTTGCTTTTGGTGCCACATATAATTGTAAATATGTGTTATGTGAAGGGAATATGAAACATCAAAGCACAGAAGTGAAGCAAACACACAGTGAGCTACGTTAAGTTTTTTTTGTCAAGCAAAAGTGCCTCTCTTCCTTTCAACTCCATGAGAATCTCTAATGTTTTTAGGAAAATATAGCACGTTGGACACTCAAGTTTGTCAAGGCCTCTTTGAACATAGTTTAATGGCTCTCATTGTGCATAGATGCACAATGCCACATCATTTTAGTTAATAACAATAATATGGTCAGTGAAAATGTGTCCAACTATAATAGACCAAACTGTAACCAGGCATTTTAATCTGGAACCAACATTATTGAATGTGTTAACATATAATATACAATATCCCAGAAACAGTAGCATTATACAATAACAACAGTAATAAGTCTTGACAACAATATTCACTCTGTATACTCACCTATTATATTACATATGTTATTACATTAGGTGGTACTGCATGCTCTTTACAGACTGCTTATTGTTAATTGTTAGGTTTATTCATGTTCACCTGCTTTTGTTAACTTTGTCCGTACAAATTATAAGCCGCTGCTAATATTACATTTATGCTGTCGCATTTGTGAAAATATGTTTGGAAATGCATTACGTTAGCCAGTGAATACATTTATAGTCCGTTATTAAAGGAATAGTTCACCCAAAAATGAAAATTCTTTCATTAATTACTCATCCTCATGTCTTTCCAAACCTTCGTTCATCTTCGGAACACAAATTATATTCACAAAATATATTTTTGATGAAATCTGAGCGCTTTCTGACCCTGCATAGACAG